CCGGGGGTGGGGGGGGGGGGGTGTGGTCTTTGGAACCAAGGGACAGACTAGAACCTTGGTCAGGCTCCCGGAATTAAAAAAAATCTCTGGCAAGGCTCACAGGGAGAGTTTTTATGGCTTAGTATGGTTCCAATTGTGCTTTTAGACCACATATTAGAGATCAAAATAACATTATTTGGATAGGCAAATTATATCTTTTTAAGTGGATATGTGCGCTATATAAGTCATATTTATTATGTTATTAATTTTTGATCCGACAACAGGTGGCTGCAGGCCTGTCCCCTGGTGGCGCCACCACTAACCATATTGACAAGGTTGGAATTAACTTTTTAGTTACCTTTTCTTTCAATGGTCGCTAAATATTCTTTTTCAGGATGGCAAATTTTAACAACGATATGAATACAGCAGAGCATTCTAGTGATTGAAGATGAATAACTTGGTGGTTAAGATGTTTTCCAACCCCAGGGTTCTGGTTCCATTCCATGGTAGCAGGATTTTTTCTCACGACCAAAACTCCACTCTCATAATGAGACTTGGTTTAATAAAGCATTTGTGTTTGTGTTTGTCTTGTGAAGGGATATGCCACTTAAAAAACCTAACTGTATGTCTTGGGCCTAAAAGAATTAACATTAATTTTAATAATAATAATAATGTTGCATAAGAGTACGTTTGGGATAAATATTTAAAAGAAAATAATGCTTAAAAAAGAATGATGTTTCGACTCCATCATGGTGTTATTTTCAAGTTCAAATAATGAGGTACACAGGATAAAATAATCTATAAAACAATTTACATTTCTTTTCTTTTATTAGGTTTATTTGGTTCTTTGTTAGAAAACAGTGCTTTCATCTGTCTGTAACAACCTGTTATTCACATTTGCAAATTTCTTTTCTGCCTGGGGAGTATCCCTAGTCATGTAATTTAACATTTCCATACTGTCAGGTAGAGTTTTTAAAAACTCTTGGGGAAAAAAAAAATTTAAAAAAAACCAAAATATTCAAAGCCTATATCCTGTAATCAAAGGTCAGATTTTAATATCATTAATAAAAAGCCAGGGTGTAGATATAAAACTTTAAAATACCGGTATCTTTCTTTTAAAAACCCATTTTACTTTACTTAAAATCAGTCTTGAAATCATAATTATCATTGTCGTCATCGCCGCCCAACATTCCAAATGCTGCGGTGAGGTTGTCGGATAAACTTGATGCAAGTGCATCTGAAAAATTTAAGAGAAAATCTTGTATTTGAAAAAGTATAAAAAATTTAAAAAGAAATAAATAAAATATTTCAACAATTACAACTTTTTTGCACAAATCACTATATCGGTGTCATTATCACAAATAATACATTCACCATTTTTATTTTATTATTACTGATGGTACGGTATCATCCTCATCATCAGCTACCCCCTCCTCATAAGCATCTTTCTTAAATTGATGCATCTTATTTCAGTTTTTTTCAATGTATTTTTGCAACTACTGTAATTTTCTTTTTGGACAAAATAATGAAATCTGAATCTGAAAAACTCCATCAGATTCAATAAAAAAAAATAATAAAACCAACCTGCTCTTCGTCTCTGCTTCAGCATTTTCTTGTAGGATTTCTTCTGCCTCTTGTTGCTTTGTAAATTATGATCATCGTTCCCAACGTCAACATTTTCGTTTGGATTTGAGAACACATACGCTGGTAACTTAGCAACAGGTGCCATAACCGGGGCTAGTTTCTGCTTTCCCCTCTTTGAAGACATGTTGACTGTTACCCCTGACAACTAAAATAAAATTAAGGATAGTTGCTATGATCACATTGATTAGACTGAGAGTCAAACAAGCATCTACTGAAATGTTGAGGAAGTTTTGCTAACCTTATCTTTCTTCACAACTTCTTCATCACTATCTTCCATTAATTCTTCCTCTTCCTCATCGTCATCACTATCGCTATCCTCCATTTCTTCTTCTACACTCTTAAGATCATCTTCATCATTAATCACCCCTTTGGTTGGGCCTGTAGACTCAAACAGGATGGCAGAGCTTGGCTTAGCATGTGTACCTAGAAAATGGAACCAGAAATGTGCTGTACATGTTGAAAGAACAAGTCATTCAATAAATGTAATAGATGATACTTTAAATTGATTCATTGGGAGTAAGTAATTATGGGATGAAAGAAAATATTTTAGTCAGGGTGACATGAAAGCCCTAGCATCGGGAGCTAACCGTTAGCACATGTGTGAGAACGGCCACTCGGTTAGCGCCAACTGTCACCGGGATCCGGATACTCTAACGGTTAGCGAGCGCTACCGTTAGCAAGCTAAGCGCGTTTCTGTTTCTTAACCAATTCTTCTTATCGAGTCACTACGTAGCTGGTGTGTATGATCTAGCTTACGTAGTGTGGTAGAAGGATTCGCAGGTTGGATGGGTACCTGACATGGGCTGCGTCGTGAGCGCTCCTTCTGTGGCCGGACAGGGGACTAGAGATGGACCGGGGCAACTCCCTACTCTTCTCGAATGATGTGCTGGATTCTTTAACGCGCACACGAGCCAATTGTGTACACTGGGCCTACGGTTTGGAGTCCTTATCCGAGAAGACTTGTTCCTCCACCGGAACCATAGGCGAGCGTGCCGTTTGAACCAGCGCTGATATTATGGCTGTAAGTCACGGTTCCCCTGTCTTAACCGCTCGGCCAATCGACTCGCCTCTTAACCAATCACACACACGCATTTCCAATTTCCAGTTTCCTACTGGCCACTGATCCGATCATCATCTTCTTGGTGTCTGGATCAGGATTTTCTCGTATGAACGCACAGCCGGATTCTGCTAACCGTTAGCTGCTGTGTGAACCTACCTGTCAATGGGACTTTAAATTGCCGTTGTAATAGGAAAGGTTTATTGACAGGGTTCACGGGGTGGTGCGTTTATTCAAAGCGGGGTGCTTATTTGAATACAGTATTCCATTAGGTACTATGTAATACAAATTTTAATAATTAAATTAATGAACTGCATTAGGTGACGCTGTAAAAAATTTATACAATTTCTTGTCAATACAATAATCTCATAGTGTACCTTGCAAAATCTTTTTTTGTTCATTTTCAATGGCAGCTATGTCAAATGCTTTTCCTAGTTCTGTGACAATCTCCGCTGTGATGTGTGTTGGTAAGGTATGCTGCTCTGGCGGGTGGGTGTAATATGTTATCTTTCCACTGCAATAAAAAGACAGGAAATAAATTTGAAAGGGAATAAAAATAGTAAATAACATGTAATAAATATTTGGATATACAGTAGTACATACAGAGTTTGGTAAAGTCGACTTTATCTAGGCATGGGCATCATATTTTGCAGGCTCCTGTTGGAAGACTGTTCATTTTTATATTTAGCTTATGACTCACTCCATCATTCCTCCAACCAGATTAACTGTCACAAGTAAAGCCGATAGTTTCGTGTCTACAGCCCCACATAGAGCTGTACACACAACAACTAGGTAAACGTATAACCAGTATTTTGTTTAATAAGAGGACCTCTGATATAAACCAGTTAAGTTCTAACCTGTTCCAATCTATTAGAACTCCAACAGCTGCCTTGTCCACATCTGGCACCCCACCCTTCTTCAGCTTCCCTTGCTTGGTGGCTAAGAACGACAGAAATTCATGGACATCACTGAAGTCTGGCACCGAATAATGCATTATTAACTACAAGAAATAATCAAAATAAAGAATATTTAAATAATAATTAAACTAACATTTTTATGTAACAATGATTATGAAAAGAAAACCCTTTTGGGATAAATGTTACTTAAACTAAGAATGAAGCATATGATATAATTCAATTCAGGGGACAAGTTATTAGCATTTGTTTACAATATTTTTTTCTAAATATAGCATTTGTAATTGACTTACTTGGTTCTTGTTACATCTTCTTAATATTGCCTCAACTGGTATAATAGGATCATCTAGGGTTTCAATCTAAAATAATGAATTCCAAGTTGCAAAACGTCAACTCAATTTGACAAGCTACAGGTTATCATTTTTAACAAAGAGCACAAAAAAACATTGAGATATCATGCAAAGCTAGTCAACTATTTTATTTGAGAAATGGGGTATTTTAGGAAAAATACCCCATGTGAGAAACCTGTTGCACACCTTAACACAGTTTCTGAGTGCCATGGCAGTGTCATCATTCCCTGATGCCAGCACAACACCTGGACTATCGAGTAATTTAATGTTCTTGTCCAGGTGAACCTCTTGCATGGACCTATCAATGGAAAAGTATGAGATCCAAGATAATTATATTATGATTATGCACAAAATACAAAGCAAAATACATCATACACAAAAATTTACAACCTCTTTCTATCATGAAACAAATTTCGTGCAACTGGTGTAAATATTAGACTAAATGTCTTTAATGATGCACACTATTTTGTTTTATGTAGTATGATAGCTTATTACTACAAATTGTTCTTCTACACTTCAACCAAAGTTTATTCACCCCTTAAATTATTATGAATCTCAAAATGTCTCTGGCTACATTCAGACTTGGATAAAAGCCAGGCTTGAGTTAAGCCCGGCTCAACGTTAACCCAGCTTAACTTTGCTGGGCGTTCAGGCTAGCGGGATTAGCCAGGAGGCGCAAGCATTTGCATAATAATGAACCGTGACCAGGAAACATTGCTCGCGAAACATATACTCGCTCACAGCGTATGTAATTGAATGCAGATTGGTCATAGTCAATGCAAGACCCCCTGCAACGATTAAAGCCTGGCTTAGAAAAGTTAAACACGGTGGCATGCCAGGCCTAGTTACTATAGGAACACAGCCTGGCTTGAGATAATCTACCTAGTTCAGACTGGCAGGTGGATAAACCTGGTGAGTTGAGCCAGGTTTATCCACCTAGTCTGAACTAGGCCTCTGTCTTTTTGATTTATTTATGACTTTATTATAATTTTAAATTTAAATCAAAATATTTTCACCACACTCACTTAGTAACACCTGGCATGGCTCCCACGTTACACGTCCTTGCTCTTTTTAAACTGTTGATTAAACTACTTTTACCAACATTAGGAAAACCTATGGGAAAAAAAATACATTTTGAATAACCATCAGTTACCATTTATAATACGTTGAAATTTAACTATTTTATCCACTGACAAAAAATACAGGGGGTATCAGAAAGTGAGCTTGTATTACAATTATTTACCCAGGGAAGCCTAAACAGTTAAAACACTGATTTCCATTGGGGCCCTGCATTTTAAGCACATTGTCATAACTGGTTATATTTTCTTAATTAGTGCCACATACAATTAGTATTTGAATATGTTTAGAGAAGGCACAGTTCTCAAAGCGATATCTAAATCATTCCATATATTCGTCCCGGTCACCTTAAAACTCGTGGAATAACTTTCGCTTTTCGCAAAAGGAACCTTCAACTTCGTAAGAGTTGACTGTCTTGTTTAACGAGTTTGCAATATCGTATGAATAGGTATGTCAAGTATAAAGGTGTCAATCGGTTAATATGTAGTTTTCGCCGCACGACATTAACCTTAACGTTAACGGATGACATAATTTATTCATCTTGTATTGCGGAGTATGTTAATTTCAGGACTTTACATGCTTGACGTACATTGTTATGGGTTTACGAAACTTATGCGTATGCTTATTTCAATATTGTTTACAAAAGGGGCGGAGCTATCACATTGCATGTTGGATAATAATGTTAAAGTTAAGGTTAACATTGTGCAGCGAAAACTACCTGGCACACTTGTTCACTTACCTACTACACCAACGGTGATAGATGTTTTGATACCAGCATTCCTGCAGTAATTAGCTAAGAGTTTAATTAATGACTCTGCTCCTAGACACTGACTTGATTGTAGAAGATCTTTACTGACTAAATTAACAGGAGTTTTATTTCGACCCTAAAAAAAGACAATGTACCGGGAAAACATAAGCTTAATATCAGGCCAAAAGAAAAAACTTCCTTTTTTTTTTTTTGCAAAATACATGTTTTTTTGAGCCCAAAATACTTGTATGATGCTTTAAAAGACCACTTATATTTACTTCATAAATTGTATACATTACTCATCTCTTCATCTTTTTCTTCCACATTGAGGGCTAACTGCACAGCTGAAGGCTTTGGCCTGAGATGGATGTGGACTACTCATTACACCAGTACACCGGAGTAACCCCCTATTCATCTTGAAAGGTGTACATGTTTCTTTATAGTGTACATGAGCCAAATGTGTACACTGAACCTACAGTTTATAGTCTTTATCTGAGAAGATTTGTTGCACCATCAGAACCACAGACGAGCGTGTCGTTCGAATCAGCGCTGATATTATGACTGTAGGTTGCTGCATCCCTTGCCTTAACCGCAATAAACCAACAATTTAGAGCTGGCGTCATGTTTGCTACTGCTAATGTTATACTAGCTATTATTCACAATCATTCTTTAAGTACAATACTACGTGTTAAATAGGATTTTAAGCTGAATTCGCATCTCTCTGAGCAAAGAAACTTACCAAATTATGTTTCTGTGTTTGTGTGGATGCTTTGAAAGCAACTGTTGGAAATTCATTTCGTAGGTGTTTTAACCATTTTTCTGCATTATCTTTTGGTACAAGGTCTGGAAAGTAAGTCAATCACAAAGTTATACTCAATCAGTTAAACGATAAAACTGGTAAGTACAATCAAAGCAGAGTCTTATTACACTGGAATTCTATCCCCACTGAAAACAAGAGTGGTATGTATAGCTCACTTAAACGAGTTGTAGCTATTATGTATACTGAACTGCAAATATTAAGCCAGAGAGGAGAACTGCCAGTTTTACCGTTAGCAACTTTGAACTAAACTGTTGGCTTGTGTGTATGCAGTGGCGGCTCTAGGATATATTTTCTGGGGAGGCTAAGTTGTCCGACAGGGGGACTTGAGCTCGTAGACTCGAGCTGGGTTGAGAGGGGGTTCCCCTTACCAAATGAGATTTTTTTAAAGAATATCAACCTCTAGATGGCCGAAAATGGCACTCTCAGACTGTGACAGACATGTGTTGGCTTGGTGTGGGCCTATTTTTATATGTTTTATGGTCTGACTGCCCGACGAGCTCTGTCCGGCGGGGGATGGGGGGCTTGACCTGTCCGGTGGGGGCTTAACCCCCCCCTGCCACCCCGCTGGCGCTGCCACTGTGTGTATGTTAAAAAAATATGAAAGAAGAGTAGGGAATTATATTTCAGTGCACAGACCATGTGTTTGAAGTGGATGTTTACCCATATTTGAGTTGCTATCAGCACTGGGAGTACACCTGATTTCAATTTAATCGACTTACCAATTTTATTCAGTACAAGCACCAACTTCTTATCCAATCCAGAAGCTAACACAGCCTGTTCCAGTTCCGTACATCGGGAGCTCAGCGGATCCCGTGCATCGAGTACTTGCAAGATAACATCAGCCGAGTTCAGGACTTTCTTGAACTCTCGGTAGTAAGCCCTTCGTGTGGAATCTATTTCTTTCCGTGTATCACGTCCTGTGTCTGATTCGCCTATCAACAACATCTTGATATAAAAAAAAGATGAGATATTTGTGTTACTTTACTTTACAGATATATCATACTCCAAAAATGACTGTAATATTGTTACTTTTTTATTTATTTTAAATGTCCTATCTACTCACCTTTTTAGCATATTCTTTCTGTTTCCTTTCTGCATCTTTAGTCAGGTGTTCCAATTTTCTTTTCTTCAAAAGATCTTTGTGTCTCTGTTCTTTCTGACGTTGTTTCAGTTCTTCTGCCTAAAATTGCATGAAATACTTTTTAATGCCTCCAAAATTAAACTTCGAAAATAGAATATCATCTACTGTACCTTTACTAATGTTAAATAGTGAATGAAAACATTCAGCATCTTAAATTTGTATTGTTAACTTCATAACTAAAGGTATAGGCCAGCAGCTAATTAGGGGGTTGTCAACTACTTATCTGAAATACTAGTAGCACTGCTTATGTTCTACTACAGTCACATATGCATTCATGAAAATAGTATAAAAATCCTGACTGCTCATGAGGGAAATGGTGAAATCTATTGCCTCGAGGTGATGTGAAGACCATAGCCTACTATCATTCAACCTACGTCAATGGAGCGAAAATTGAAATTATTACCTGCTTTTTAACCAATCAGATGCCTACAATATATGTATGCAGTACTATAGTAAATTTAAATTTATACTAGTTTGATTGTACTTCACTTTCCAATAGATATTACTGTCTGAATTCTTTCTCCTCACTAAATAAGCTTTCAAACTTGTATTTTTAAAATAGATTTTAAGCAAATACATTAATAAGGATTTACAGATATTTATATCAAAAGTATAGACCTCTCCACACTATAATATTTTATTCGACAAAAAGCTGTTGTAGCATTCCCACATAGTTGTGATGTGCCTAAATATGGTCATGATCATGTGACCATATTTAGGCATATCACAGGTTTTTGTCAAATAATATTAACATAGACAGAAAAATGATTCAATATTTCTTACTCTAACTTTTCTCTGTTCTGCTTCTCGCAGGATTGTTTCCTTAAATGGAGCTAAATTTGGTATTCCGATGTCTTTCTTTGGCTTTCTATGTGGTTCTTTCTTGCTTTTTCTTTTGACCTTTTTATCATGTTCTTTAACCTGCAAAAGAATATTGAATGTTTTGTTTATTAAGTTGATAAATTATATAGCCACATATATGTATTTTGGAGACTTTGTCCTACACATTGTGCTTATTCGACTGGTTCATTTTGTTGACTACAATTTTTCGTTCAGTATTATTTTCATTTGACTGGTTTCGTAAAATAGACTTCGTTGACAATGAAAATTAACGTAAACCAGAGTGCGTTAATCAGCGTTAAGTTATCCATGTGACCAAAACAAACATGGCTGATTGGTCAGTTTAGCAACAGCATTTGTGTTAATATAATTTAGATTAAAATTCAGAAAATAAAAATTATAATATTTACCCACATGGAATCAAAAAATAATTGTAGGCTAACAGAATTCAAAAACTGGATGAAAACATTTTTTTATGAAAAAGCCATACTGCCACAAGCCAAAGTAACCTTGATTACACAGCCTGTATCGCAGTAGCTATGCAGCCATTTTGTTTTGTCAAGTATTTAGAAGTTTTCTATTTGATTGGTTGTCTTCGCAAAGTAGAATTTTACCACTGCGCCAGTGGGCGTGTTTTAACGAAGAACGACCAGTCAAATACGGCCATTTAATGGCTTCTTGCATTTCAACTTTTAAAAGTGGAAAATGAGGAAGATACTTAGGCATAAGATACCTTTCAATAAACAGCTACAAAGTCCTAGAGAAATTTCAGCTTAAGAATACCATTGCCAAGAGGAGGTGGCAACTCTGTTACTGAAGTTGCAAAGCATTTTTATACAAGGAGGTGGTAGATGCAAAATAATTTATTTTTATTGTTTGTTTTTTTCACCTAAAATTTTAAATAATGTTATTTGTTTTAGTGAGGTTTTGTTGCCCTCAATGTCCAACCACAGAGGTACAGTAGCTATTTTGCTTAAAATGTTAAAGCAGGTGTGCTAACAAAGTCACACAGTGTGCAAAGCTACAGATAATACCACTCCATTACTGTGCAGATTCAGGAAATTCATGTTTTACCGTACTGGCTCAAATTTAATGTATATACGCACAACCTTTGATAAGTTGTTTTGTTTATACTGTATAATCAATTTATTGTAAAAGTACTGTATTTTATTTAATAACAGGTTTGAAGTACATGCATTATTTAAATATTCTCTTATTTGATATTCTGTCTAAATGGTTAATCTATTTAAATGTTGCCATACTATTATTAGGTTGTGCTTGATGGTAGAATACAGTATAAAATATTGGAACAACTGGCTGAATATAAACATGTGCATGTTTGTTTTTTTCAAAACCAAAACTGACTTTACCTTTTTTGCTATCTTGTATTTCATCTTACAAGTCATTCGTTTACTTTTAAGTTTTCCTTAAAAAAAAAAAGATAACATTAAATTGAATAAAATAATGTGTTTTCAATGCTAGGCGGGTAGTAGGCGTACTACCATACTGTAAAGCATTTTAATACGCCTTTTCCACGAATCGGTAGACATCTTGAAGTTATGACAAACAACCCAAGTCAGTGGTGCGTAGCCAACAAAAATAAGAAGATGGAAAAAGAAGAGCCTATCTAAATAGTGTATTAAAATAGGCCTATGCTACAGTACAGCAAACTAATAGTATCTAGCACTGTTTTAGTTACAATATGAGATTTACGGTACCTGTGTTAAAAACATGATTTACTATACTACTATACTTCTTTATAAAACATAACTTGTTAAGAGAAATCTGTATATTATCGGTACCTGGAACAATTATACGAAGGTACTATGCTACTGCACTGTAATGCATAGGCCTATTTTAGTACACTATTTAGATATTAGGCTCTTCTTTTTCCATCTTGATTTCAGAGGTCAAAAACATTTTTCAATTTTTTTTCAATCATATAGTGGTGTAGAATAGTCTTTTGAGAACATTTTACAGAAAAAAATCATGTGATACGACCCTCCGTTATGGAGGTATGATTTTTTAGATAAAAAGGACAAGAATTTAGATTCAAAGCTTATCATAATACGGTTGGTTACGCACCACTGACTTGGGTTGTTTTGTCATCACTTCAAGATGCCTACCGATCACCCTCATTTCCCTTGTTGTTTGTATTTTCCCCTCAAATATTAAATTTTTATTTTACTTAACATGTCCTTTCCAGACCCTAGGCCTATAGGCAGACTAGCCAGGAAGATGTAAGCCTACAGTCAGACAGAGTGACGTAGCCTATCCCCAGGGCCAGGTCGGGCCTAGGCTAGGCCTATTGCCCTGATCCCCTGTGTCCTAGCCGCCTAGGCCTAGGCTAGGCTTTAACAGCCTGTGTTTAGTGGCCTAGAAATGTCATTTATGTAGATTAAGCATAACCATACTTACGGGCTCTTCCTTTCTTCACCATTTTGTAAATTTAACTATTCAATGCTAGGAAGTGTGATATGTAGCAATTTAAACAGATACGCCTATCATCAAATTACTGTATTTTAAATCCCAAATTCTTAAACACATGTTCACACGTTGTGAAATTTTCTGGTCCAGTCGCCTGGTGGCGCTACCGTGGTTTATAATTCTATCCACATGGATGTACAGTACAAACCTACGGAAGCACCTAAGTGCCATTCGACTTGACGACTTGTCAAGATAATTATGTTGTCAAGTCGACATAATATACATATCATGTCGACATGGCGAGATAGATTATCTTGACAAGTCGACATACTAAAAGTGTTTTGTTGTCATGACAAGATAGGTTATCTTGACAAGTCGACATAATAAAAGTTGTATGTTGTCATGGTGAGATAAATTATCTTGACAAGTCGACATAGTAAAAATGTTATGTTGTCATGGCGAGAT